CGGGCTCCACACTGCACAGAGCTCACAAACTGCGAGATCATGACCTGACCTGAAATCAAGAGTCTGATGCTCAACTGACTGAGCCACCCAGGCACCCCAAAAGTCAGGGCTTTTTAAAGACCAAAGGGAATGCTTGTAGGCACTGTTTACTAAGAATTTTGATTGGTGTGGGCAGTAGGAAACTAATCTTGGCTGAACATAATCGATTGCTAAGGCTACCACTAAGCAAAGTCTTTCTGTGTTGCGTTGCCGGTGTTTGGGCAGAGTCCTTGGAGCCCAGTTCAAAGTTCATGGCTTTACCTGGTGAGGGCGTGAACAGGCTGTCCCCTTGAAGGCCCCTGGCTCCATCTGAAAAACTCCTTGACAAACGTGACTCCATCTCATTTTACCTTTCGCACCAGAAAGAACAGGCTGGCTGCTGGAGGAGGAGAAAGTCCCCACTCACGAGGTACCAGATGCTTGGGGTATGGACATCATCAAATACCTGTTTCTGGGCAGCCACTGGCGGACGATAAAGGGACAGGATAACCGAAAACATGGCACCGGGTAGTTTCAAGGGTGATAGGGCCAGTTGACAGGACAAGGGCAGTGACAACGCGGCCTGAAAATGGGGCTGCAGCTGTGAGACACAGCCGGCCACCTGGAGAGAGGGCTGACATCTGGCCAGTTAGTCTGCCCGGAGTGACCAAGGCCCAGATGAGGAGGTCCCCCTCACTGAAGGATGACGTGTGCCTCACGGCCCCATGGGTTGTGTCCTCGAGTGTGGCATTGTGCTGCCACATCAGGGGCAATGGGCGTGTCACTAGAAACTCTCTTAACAAGCTCCAAACAAGCCACATGACCCAGTTTTCTAGCCCTGCTTACAGGGGCTGCTTGCCACCCAAAACTAAGGCCCAGGCCAGAAGCCACGAGCTCTAAACAAGCCCCCAAGGCCCAGTTTTTGACCAGTTTGATCCAGTTCCGGCAGTGGGCTAACCCTCCAGGTGACCTTGGGATTGTAACAGAAAACACCCGCTAGCACCCTGACAGACCCACTGTGCCCATTTAGGGAAAACAGAGGTTGCGCGGACTCCAAGAAAGCCTCCCTCTTCCCTGAAAAACCCCGCCAGCTTGCTCACTAGCCCCTTAAGTACCCTGACGCCATAAAGCCCTGACCCTGAGACCTGATCCAGGAGACGGAACCTTTAGAGCACAAGCTCCCCTTTTCTATTCTCTGGTCATTGAATAAATTACTGGCTTGCCATCAAATACTATTTGGTTATTTGGCAAACAGTACTGAGTAGGAACTAGCCACTTTGATAACAGATGGGCTTCTTGGGCTCCACCACCAGCTTGACTTCAGGGGTCACATCAGGGCTCTCACCACGGGCATACCTGTAGGAGACCCAGAGACCAGCAGCCATTTTCTGGAGTTTGGGACACCAAGAGTCTTTAATCTGAAGTGTCCTCAGTGGTAGACCAGACATCTGGGACATTGACCACAGCTCAGTGACCCTGCTGAGTTGAACCCTGGGGGAACCCCAGGGCATATAGGGGAACCTCTGAGGAGGAAGCCCCCTGAGCCAGTGGTTTTACTCCAGGTGCTACAGTCGGGGGTAAAGTTTCCCCCAAAGGGAGAGCTCTCTCTTCCAGAAAACAGGTGATACTAGGGTCAGGGTGACTGTACCCCAAACATGTTTCATTGGATTCATCAGATCGGCAGGGATGTCAGGCTGAGTGACAAGGCCAGGGGTCTGGCGGTCAGCTCTGTAAACTGGTCTTGTCCTGGCACTGCTTCTGGGTTCCCTGCAACCTCCGGTTTCCTCCTGGGGCTTTATGTCCCTGCCAGGGGCTGTGCAGGGGTCAGGTGAGCGCCTCCAAGTCAGAGAGTGCACCTCTAGGGACCGGCACCCTCTGACACGCTGTGTTATCCCCGTCTTTCCCTGCACCAGACAGCTGTCAAGGATCCTATTGGGGAGCAGGGATGAGGTACAGAGGGAGGAGCCCAGGGCCACCTGCCCAGCATGCAGCTGCACAAAAGCTGCCCTCCAACCACTGTGGTCCCCAGGGGCAGAGATCGTTCCTGGCAGTCACTCGTGGGTGTCCCGGCCTGCTTGGTTGCCTATATGACCAGCCACAGAAACTGTTCAGTGTCGGGAGACAGGTCAGCCTGTGGTCTGGGCACTCTGCAAGAATTCTCAGACACTGCTTCCTGCCTGTGGCAGCACCCCTCCCAACATCATTCTTTTAAGGTGCATGTATTGCTTGCATGTACATTTCATTGAGAGTCACATATTTACTCATATTTTTATGTCTACTTTCTGAATTCCACAAGGGCTGGGATTTTGCCACTATTTGGTCATTATTCAGGGATGAGTCTTCTGCACCTTGCATCATTTGAATAGGTATTCTCATGTTTAAGAAACTGTTAAGATTACAGGCAGTGGCCCTGGTGACTGTCCCGTGCCATCCTGGCAGCAGCCTGGAAGTCTGTCTCTGCACAGAGGCACAGTTGGGAGTGCGTCTCCAGCACCCAGAAAACTGACCGTCTGCACTCTCTTCCACTCTTTGGCTCCAAATACTAGCAGGCAGGCATGCATGCTGCACACAGGACACCGGAAGATGCTGGGGAGACCGGCCAGCCCAGAGGAAAGACTTAGAGATACTGATGGGGGGGGGGGCTCCCCAATCAACAGGCCCCCTGAGCACCCCAGAGTCAAACTCAAATTTGATGAGTCCCACTTACAAGTCTAGTATTTCCAAATAGCCTTCTGGTATATTCCTCCTCACGAGCAAACAAACATTACCTGACGGCGTGTAAAGCGTCTTCCTGGAAGGTAGGAACGGAAGAAACAGCAAAGAGATAACTCAGAGCAAACATACTAGGCAGGAGAATGATACTGCAGTATTTCTCATTCATACCCTCAGACGTTGCTCACTTGAAGCAAGAACAGCATTTCTCTAAACACTGACATGAGTGGAAGAAGAAGGAGCTCTTGGAAATTAGACACTGTGACAGCAGAAACAAAAGCCTCAAGGGAGAAATCCCTCAGAAAGCAGAGCAAAGGGTAAGATGGAAAACAGGAGCGACTACGTTCGAGGGTCAGGCTCAGACCTCTGACATCCTAAAACAGGAATTCTAATTTTTTAAAATTTCTTTAGAGAGAAAGAGAGAGAGAGCACATGAGCAGGGGAGGGGCAGAGGGAGAGAATCCCCAGCAGAGTCCACGCTCCCACCACCCTGGGATCACCATCTGAGCCGAAATCAAGAGCCCGATGCTCCATCGACTGCACCACCCATGCACCCCCTAAAATAGGGATTCTGGAAAGAGGAAATGTGGAATCGAGGAACAAGTCATTGGTAGAAATGATTGATTAGTGAAACAGCCTACAAAAGAAGTTCCCGGGAGTGAGGGACAGGCGTTTCCCGACTGAGGGCCCTTTGAGTTCCCATCACAGTGAAGGAAAATCCAGGCACTTGGAGCCACCACGTTGTGAAATTTCAATAGATGATCCTGAAAATTTGCAGGGAGTAACCAGCCTCCACTGTGGTAAAGGATTATAAATTGAAAGCCTGTGAATTTCTTAACAGCACCCCTAACAATCAAGGGGACAATGCCTTCACAGTCTGAAGGAAGAAGCCTCTAACCTAGAATTCTTTGCTTAGAGCGTGTGAGGGCAAATCGAAGACATTTTCAGGTCTGCAATAACATTAAACAAAAAAGATATCCCAGACACCTCTTCTCAGCTTCACCAAAACAGGTGAGTGAATCAAGGAAAAAGAAGACCAGATGGCTGGAGAGGGCCAGCACAGGTGGAGAGAAGGGAATCCGTCGGGAGATGGACGGGGGAAACCCAGACAGACCATCTGCCCAGACTGGAGCCGACCGAGGAGTTCGCGGCTGAAGCCTGCAGAGCCTCCCGTCCCTGGCCACCCTCGCCCGCGGGCACAGGTGGCCACAGAAAGCCCACGGAAGCCTCCGGGTGGACTAGTGCGTGGCTAAGAAGGAATGACAAGCGCTAACACGTGGTTACAGGAAAGCCTTGGGCAGAGGGCAGGAACTTTCTAATTCTTGCAAGACCTTCCTGAACTAGGGGAATTCTCTAGAGAGGCCGGTATGCTTGATTTATAAGCACTAAACGGCTTCTGGGACCAGTAGGGGGAGGGGGAAAGTGCTAGAAAGTTCTTCACTTACCTTCGTTTATCTTGAACTTCGTACATCTTGAACTTCGTACTTGATGTGTGGTACACGTGTGTATAAAGACACGTGACCACGTACACAGAACAGTATCGTCGCCGAGAAACTGTCGCGCAGTCCCGCTTTGTACGTGCTAAGCTCTCCCGGTCCCACCCTGACGTCACGGCCGTCCTCGACTTCCACCTACGGGCTCCACGACACCCTAAGGTGAAGGCGCTCACCTGCTTTTCCGAGGCAGGAGAGAGGCGTCTCCTCCGCCTCCTGGTCGCCTTTCCCACGTCTCCTTGGAAAGGAGACACGAGCGGCCTGGCCGGCCGCCGGCCGCATCCTCCCCCCGTGGGGACACTCGCCCACACGGCCCAGTAGCGGGGCTTCGGCGCCTGCAACCGGGCTGGAGACACGCACGGGCGGCGCCACGCTCGCCCTTGCCCGGCCTGCACTTCTGCGCCACCAACATGGCCGGGAACCCCGAGCCCAGCCCACAGGGTCTCGTGGTGGGGCTGGCGCCTGAGCCTGGCCTCGCCCCGCGCCCCTGGCTCCTTGCTCCACCTCCGGGCCTACGCCTTCTGGCCTCGGGCCCACAGCCCTTCGCCCGCCGCACCCCCATCCACCTGCAGTCCCGCCCCGCGCCGCTCCGCGCCCACCGCGCCCACCGCGCCGCGCTTCCACCAGCCCCACCCCCGCCCCACTCCCACTCCAACTCCCATTACCTCCAGTTCCGCCCCGCCCCCTCGCCCCGCCCCTCGCCCCGCCTCCGGTCCTCTGGGTGCTCTCCGCACTTGAGAGCGGCGGAGACGCGCGGCGACTGCTCGGGACGGCGCGATGGAGTCGAGTGGCGGCCGCGCGGAGGCCCCGGGTCGCGGCCCGCGGGTGCTGGTGGTGGGCGGTGGCATCGCGGGGCTGGGGGCGGCGCAAAGGCTCTGCGGCCACCCGGCCTTCCGGCGGCTGCGGGTCCTGGAGGCCACTTCCCGCGCCGGCGGCCGCATCTGCTCAGAGCGCAGCTTCGGTAACGGCCTTTCTCGTAACCCCTTTCCGGACCCCCTTTCTGGAACCCAGCGGGTGTCGCCCGAGCTCTGCCGCTCCTGGTCCGGCCTGCGCCCAGGGTTAACAGACCCAGAAGCCTTACCTGGTCCCCTGAGTGAATCTCCGCCCCACCCCACTTAATCAGCCAAAGTTCAATGGTCCCCGAAACTCAGCTGCCTGGTTGGCAG